CTGTTTATATCCCTACAAGGGAAGATGACACTTGTAACTCTTGAGACCTGTATTGTTATTACATCATTTAAAAGGATATACATAGACAGAGGGGGTGGGTATAAGTTGACTTTGATGTAATGATAAAAAATCTAATTAAGTGGGTTAAATGGAGCTAAATAAGTATACTAAGTGGATCTAATTAAGGGACTGTATAGGAGAAAAGGAAAGCAGAGGGAGACAAGGGTAAATTACATTACATGAAAAGGCACAAAACCCTAATACTGTAGAGGGAAAGAAGGGAGGAAGATGAGCATTGTTTGAACCTTATTCTCCTCAGATTTGGTTCAAAGATGAAATAATATAACCAGTTAGGTATAGAAACCTAAAATGCCCTATAGGAAGTAGGAGGGGGGAGGGAGATGAGCATTGTTTGAACCTTGTTCTCCTCAGATTTGGTTCAAAGATGAAATAATATAACCAGTTAGGTATAGAAACCTAAAATGCCCTATAGGAAGTAGGAGGGGAAAGAGAAAAGAAAAGGGAGGGGTGAATAGAAGGGAGGGAAGAAGTAGTAAGGGAAAGGGGAAGAAAAGGGAGAGGGCTAATAGAAGTCAGGGTGTACTAAGGGAGGCAGTGGTCAAAAGCAAAACTCTAGTGAGGAGGGAAAGAGAGAAAAGGAGAAAGAAAAGCATGAATGGGAGGGTGGGGAAATAGGATGGAAAGAAAGACACAGATAGTCATCATAACTATGAATGTGAAAGGACAAACTCTCCCATAAAACAGATATGGATAGCAGAATGGATTAGCCACCATAATCATATAATATGTTGTTTATAGGAAACACATTTGAAACAGAGGGATACACACAGGGTAAAAGTAAAAGGCTGGAGCAGACTATATTATGCTTCAGATGAAGTTAAAAAAAAACAGGGGTAGCAATCTGATCTCAGACAAAGCAAAAGCAAAAAATAGATCTTATTAAAAGAGATAAGGAAGGAAACTAAATCTTGCTAAAAGGTTATCATAGACAGTGGAGTAATATCATTACTAAACATATATGCACAAAGTGGTATGGCATCTAAATTCTTAGAGGAAAAGTTCAGGGAGTTAGGGGAAGAAATAGACAGCAAAACTATACTAATGGGGGACCTCAACCTCCTCCTCTCTTAACTAGATAAATCTAACCACAGAATAAAGAAGAAAGAAGTTAGAGAGGTGAATAGAATATTAGAAAAGTTAGATATGGTAGACCTCTGGAGAAAATTGAAGGGGGAGAGAAAGGAATACACTTTTTTTTCTCAGTAATACATGGCACTTACACAAAAATTGGCCATGCATTAGGGCATTACCAACCCATAGTCAAATGCAGAAAGGCAGAAATATTAAATGCATCATTTTCAAATCATGATGCAATAAAAACTGTATGTAATAAAGGTCCAAGGAAAGATAGACTAAAAATTAATTGGAAACTAAATGATCTAATCCTAAAAAATAAAAGGGTCAAACAACAAATCATAGAAACAATAATTTCATCCAAGAGAATGACAATAATCACATATCAAAACTTATGGGATCAGTGAAAGCAGTTCTTAGGGGAAGTTTTATATCTCTAAAAGCTTACATGAATAAAATAGAGAAAGAGGAGATCAATGAATTGGGCATGCAACTAAAAAAAACTGGAAAAGGAACAAATTAAAAATCTCCAATTAAATACCAAATTAGAAATACTGAAAAACCAAAGGAGAGATTAATAAAATTGAAATTAAGAAAACTATTGAACTAATAATTAAAACTAAAAGCTGGTTTTATAGGAAAAAACAATAAAATAGATAAACTTTTAGTTAATTTAATTAAAAGAAAGAAGAAAACCAAATTACCAGTATCAAAAATGAAAAGGGTGAATTTACCACCAATGAAGAAAAAGTTAAAACAATAATTAGAAACTATTTTGCCCAACTGTATGCCAATAAATTTGACAACCTTAATGAAATGGATGAATATTTTAAAAATATAAATTGCCCAGATTAACAGAAGAGGAAGTAAAATACTTAAATAACCCCATCTCAGGAAAAGAAATTGAAAAAGCCATTGATGAGCTACCTAGGAAAAAATCTCCAGGGCCAGATGAATTTACAGTCAAATTCTATCAAATATTTAAAGAAAGAACAATTAATTCCAATACTATATAGACAATTTAGGAAAATAGGCAAAGAAGGAGTCTTACTAAATTCTTTTTATGATATAAATATGATGCTGATACCTAAACTGAGAAAAGTCAAAACAGAGAAAGAAAATGATAGACCAATTTCTCTAATGAATATAGATGTAAACATTTTAAATAAAATGTTAGCAAATAGATTACAGAAACTTATCATGAGAATAATATCTTTTGACCAGGTAGGATTTATACCAGGAATGCAGAGCTGGTTCAATATTAGGAAAACTATCAGCGTAATTGATCAAATCAACAACTAACAGAAAACGCATGATCATCTCAATAGATGCAGAAAAACTTTTGACAAAATACAACCATTCCTATTAAAAAACACTAGAGAGCATAGAAATAAATGGAGTCTTCCTTAAAACAATAAGTAGCTTCTACCTAAAATCTTCAGCAAGCATCATATGTAATGGGGACAAGTTAGAAGTATTTCCAATAAGATTGAGAGTAAAACAAGGATGTCCATTACCACCACTGTTGTTCAATGTGGTACTGGAAACATTACCTTTAGCAATAAGAGAAGAAAAAGAAACTGAAGGTATTAGAATAGGCAAAGAAGAAACAAAGCTACTACTCTTTGCAGATGATATGATGATATACTTAGAGAATCAAGTAAAAAACCACTTGAAATAATAAACAACTTTAGCGAAGTTGCAGATTATAAAATAAACCCACATAAATCATCAGTATTTCTATATATTACCAATAAATCCCAACAGCAAGAGATAGGAAGAGAAATTCCATTTAAAGTTAGTGTAGACATTATAAAATATTTAGGAATCTACCTGCCAAAACAAATCCAGGAATTATATGAACACAATTACAAAACACTTTTCACACAAATAAAGTCAGATCTAAATAATTGGGAAGACATCGGTTGTTCATGGGTAGGCTGAGCTAATATAATAAAAATTAGAATTCTGCCTAAGTTAATTTACTTATTCAGTGCCATACCAAACTACCAAAAATTATTTTATAAAACTAGAAAAATAATAACAAGATTTATTTGGAAGAACAAAAGGTCAAGAATATCAAGGGAACTAATGAAAAGAAATGCTAGGGTAGGTGCCCTAGCTATTCCAGATCTTAAGTTGTATTATAAAGCAGCAATCAGCAAAACTACTTGGTACTGGCTAAGAAATAGAGTTGTGAATTAATGGAATAGGTTAGGTATGCAAGACACAGTAGTCAATGACTACAGTAATCTACTGTTTGATAAACCCAAGAACACCAGCATCTGGAATAAGAACTCTCTATCTAACAAAAACTGCTGGGAAAACTGGAAAAGAGTGTGGCAGAAACTAGGCATAGACCCAAATCTCACACCATATACCAAAATAAAGTCCAAATGTGTTCATGATTTAGATATAAAGGCTGACATTATAAGCAAACAGAGAGCAAGGAATAGTTTACCTGTCAGATATATGAAGAAGAGAAGAATTCATGACCAAACAGGAGATAGAGAACATTACAAAATGCAAAATGGATAATTTTGGTTACATTAAATTGAAAAGGTTTTGCACAAATGAAGCCAATGCAACCAAGATTAGGAAGGAAGTAGAAAACTGGGAAATAAGTTTTACAACCAGTGTCTCTGATAAGGGCCTCATTTCTAAAATATGGAGAGAATTGAGTCAAATTTATAAGAATACAAGTCATTCCCTCAATGATAAATGGTCGAAGGATGTGAACAGGCAGTTCTCAGATGAAGAAATTAAAGCTACAGATGAAGAAATTAAAGCTATCTATAGTCATGTGAAAAAATGCTCCAAATAACTATTGATTAGAGAAATGCAAATTAAGACACTCTGAGGTACCACATCACACCTATCAGATTGGCCAACATGACAAAACAGGAAAATGATAAATGTTGGAAAAGATGTGGGAAAATTGGAACACTAATGCATTGTTGGTAGAGTTGTGAAATGATCCAATCATTTTGGAGAACAATTTGGAACTATGCTCAAAAGGCTATAAAAATGTGCATACCCTTTGACCAGCAATAGCACTTCTAGGGCCATATCCCAAAGAGATCATACAAATGGGAAAAGGACCCACATGTCCAAAAATATTTATAGCAGCTCTTTTTGTGGTGGCAAAGAATTGGAAATTGAGGGGATGACCATCAGTTGGGGAATGACTGAGCAAGTTGTGGTATGTGAATGTAATGGAATACTATTGTTCTGTAAGAAATGATGAACAGGCTGACTTCAGAAAAACCTGGAAAGACTTGTATGGACTGGTGCTGAATGAAGTAAGCAGAACTAGGAGAACGTTGTACACTGTAACAGCCACATTATGTGATGGCTAATGTTGATAGACTTAGCCCTTCTCAGCAATGCAAGGATCTAAGACATCTCCAAAAGTCTTACAAAGGAAAATGCTGTCCACATCCAGAGAAAGAACTATGGAGTTTGAATGCAGATTGAAGCTAATATTTGCTTTTTTTTTCTATTTTGTTTTGTTTCTTCTTTCTTGTAGTTCCTCCTATTGGTTCTAATTCTTCTTTACAGCTTGACTAAGGCGAAAATATGTTTAATAAGAATGTGTATGTAGAGCCTCTATCAGATTAGATGCCATCTTGGGGAGCAAGGTGGGGAGGGAGGGGAAGAAAATTTAAAACTCAAAAGCTTATGGAAGTGATTGTTGAAAACTAAAAATTAATTAATTAATTAATTAAAATAAATGAATGATCAGTGATAGAGCCGTTGTTTGATTTCTCATCTTTGCTTTCCCTCCTGCAAGCCTCCACAGTCTTCATGGTCTGAAGGTGCAAAAGTTGAAGAATGCTACTTACCATTGTTTTGTGTCTGAAAAACAGCATCACCCATGCCCCAGAAGGCAGCCAAGAAGAAGAAGATAATCTTCTGAGAGGGATGAGGTTTCCACAGCAAAAGGAAAATCATGCAGGACCCTTGTATCGTTGTGCCTATGAGTTTGAAGAGAAAAGGAAAAAGAAATAAATGACCACTGCAGATGAGTGAAAGAATGGGAGATGGAATTTAGATACAGAGAAGGAAGTTTCACTGATCTGTTGGCTTCCTTGATTTGAATGCTGTTTCCTTAAAACACCCACTTCAATGAGTCTTAACTGGAACTTGAACTTTTGTAAGTCTCCTTTTTGTACTAAGACAAAGCACAGATGCTAATGAGATGAAGAATTTCTTTTCAATACAAACCTACTCTAGGGTTTCTAGGTCTTCTTCAGGAATCCATGAATTTTTTTCTTCCTTTTACTTACGCTTTTCTTTGCACTCCGAGCATTAAGAAAGGGGCCTGGCACAGTAATAATAGGAAAGGCTTCTTCATTGGTTTGCTAACTGATAGATACACTGGCTATGAAGACTAAACTGAAAATGTCAAGACAGAGGAAGCTTGGGTCCAAAACAGTCAATGGGTTACTAAAGAATAGACCCATCAGAAGCAGTATATTCTATGATTTTAGGACCTAGGTCAGTTGCCAGTATTAGAAGTGTGAAGGAGGAAAACAATGGTAAGTTAACTACTGGGGACAGAGAAAAGCTTTCTAAATCGAAGGTTCTTTCCCCTACATCATTCTGTCTCACAATGTTCCTGATAATTGTGACTTCCACACTGTGTCAATATCATGCCTTCCTGCTCATAAGACACTTTCTGCTTCTCTTTAAAATGTAATAAGCATATCTTTGGAACAGGAAAGTACCTGTCCACATGCCTTACTGATGAGTTTCTCCATCCTCCAGTTCTTTCAGGCCTGATTGGATATATGTTTCCAACTTCAGAGTTTAAAATCCTCATTTATTATCATTGATATTGAGCTCTGTTCTCTTCCCTCATGATGCTCAAGAAAAAATACTATTGAAATAATGGATAGAATAAAATCTATCAAATTTGAAGCCTTAGAAAATGAATAAAGGAAGTACTCTGTGGCACACTGGGAAGGAGTCTACCAACAATTGCAGGCATGATAGCAGCAATACATAGACTTAGTTATAATCTTTATAATCATGTCTTAATAAATGAGTCTTTTCCCATGTCAGTCTTCTACTTTCCATACTGATACAAAAAAGCATGAAAATGGGAAAAGATCCTAGATTTAGAGCAAGAAGACTGCTTTTTGGTGAAATCCTCTCTCTACTTACTATCTCTGTGACTTTTAGATAAGTAAATCACTTTACCTCTTAGGCCTCAGTTTCTTTACCTGTAAAATAGAAGGATTCAGGTACATAGCCTTTAAGGTTCCTCCCTGCTAGACATCCCTCTGGTTCACCTCTAGATTTCTCTTCAGTTTTATTGGGGTTCTATATCATAATTCCATAGTCATATGTCATCAGTGTTATTTGGGTTAATTTTGTTTTTTTCTATTCTTTGCTTATAGGCTATTCCCCAGCACTGGTCCACCATCTGGCAATAATATTGACCATGAAATGGATCGAGTGAAAATAAATATTAATACCTCTGAGTGCTTCTGTATGGATCAAATAAGCTAGTTGATATTTGTAAAGTGCATTGGGGAAAAGTGTAATTTCATATAGAATAACAAAGTACATGTTTTGTTGATAGAATAATCATAATATAATAAGTAACATTTATAGGTGCCTAATAATATATATGTGCATATAAGTACGTATATGTAGATAAAGTAAACAACATCCCTGAATGATAGTCTACTAAGAGTTAGAGTTGGATGGGACCTTCGCTGTGATTTAGTCCAGAGGTGTCAAACACAGGGCCTGTGGGCCATGAGCCCTCAGTACTCCCAAGTGCTGGGGAATCAGATTAAAATGTAATTGGGAAATACTTATCAAAATAAATAAAAATACAGTGGAACATAGATGATGTTAATATGTGGTTTTCTAAGTCGATATGATACTACAGGGATCCTTATGTACAGTTTAATGGTCCCCATTTGTATTTGAGTTTGACACTACTGACCTCATCTAAAGCCTTCATTTTATTGCTGAGAAAATCAAGGACCAGAGGAAAGACAATAAAAGTAACTTCTTTCTAGTTACATAAATAGTAAAGGACCCAACAAGCAGCTAAATCCAGGCCTAATTCTAGGACCAAAGCTCTTTCCCTACCATGCAGCACAATGAATTATAAACATTATGTTCAGATAGAAAAGATAGCAACTTATTGCTACTAACTGATAGATAGATGAGTAGATAGATAGATAGTTAGATAGATAGATAGATAGATAGATAGATAGATAGATAGATAGATAGATAGATAGATACAAACCTATTGCATACAAAACTTTTCTGCCAGTGTACTGGGAGAGTTTTCCAAACATCAAAGAACAAAGGGAAGTGGCACCCGAAAAGCAGATCATCACGAACCCAACATTGTGTATCCCCAGGGCACAGGTGACATATGACTGAAGAGAAAAGAGGCAAATGTTAAAACGATGTTTGCACTCATGACTGTTCTTCCTTATGGGTAGGGGCTGAACTTGTCATTTTATGGCTACAAAGATCTAGATGGAAACTTGACCATTGCAACGTAGCTCTTTCTCCATAACTGACAGTCCTAGAGAGTTACTTAGAGCCCTGAGATGTTAAATGATTTGCCCAGCCAGGATGTGTCAGAAGTGGGATTTGAATCCATATCTCCTTGATTCCAAGACCAGATTTAGCCACTTTGTTGCTTCTGAATTGTCACGGTTTGAGAATTAAGCTTTTTCAAGAATTCTAAATCATATTCTAACTCATTCTGCTATTTGATGGATGGCCTGAAATTTTGTTTCATCATTTAGGTCCTTAAAGGAAAATGCTCATCTTTGCATGTGAAATCTTTTTGGATCCAAAGGAAATGAACTGAATTTAGGGTTCATTGACAAAATTCAACCCAATCATCCCTCTATGAATAAATCCACTTTATTTTCTTCAGGAATTATGCTACTAAAGATGATTGATGAAGCTGATCATTACTTACAGCCTTGATTACTGAGGAAGGGAGAGAAGGCAATAAGCATTTGCTAAGTGCCTACTATGTGTCAAGCACTGTGATAGACATTATAAATATTACTTCATTTGATCCTCGTAACAACCCTATTAGAAAAGTGCTATCATTATCCCCATTTTTCATTCGAGGAAACTGAGGCAGGAAGAGGTTAAATGACTTAGGAAGTGTCTGAAGCTAGATTTGTACTCAGGTTTTTCTGTCTCCAGGCCTAGCACTGTACTGTGTCACCTAGCTGCCTCCCATGGGGATGATGAAGGAAGGTGATAAAAATGAGAAAAGTCTCAAAGCAAATGGCAGGCAGAAAATGTTTCTTATTCGAGTAAATGCAAAAGATTTTACTCAAGCTCCTTTGTACATGTTCCAACTTCCCTCATCCTCGGTCTCCAAACTACATCTTAGCCAAGGAAATAAAGTCAAAGAAGACACTGAAGAGTGGATCTTAGGGAATGGAAAACAGTAATGGTCTGTTAGGCCATGGCTAAGTTCATCCTTGCATAGAATGCACTACCATAGCTGATGTACTACAGTTGTTCTGACCATGAACAATAAAATTAAACAAGATGAGACTGGTGGTACTTTTAGTTTCCTCAATAATTCCTTTCTAAAATTTAATTCCAAAGTGGGTTTTATTGGTGTTGTTTGCAACTGGGCAATAACATTTTATTACTGATTATTACTCCCAAGTTTTACAGGGAGCCATACTGGGGAAAGAATATATTTTAACATAAGTAAGGACTCAACTGTAAGATCTTTCTCAGAGATTGACACACACACACACAGAAATTGGTTGTCATCGATTATAAGAAAAGCAGCATGCTTAGGCTGGGTGAAAAGAAGTTTGGACTTAGAGTCAGGAAATAACCTTGGTTTAGATCCAGTTTCATATGTTTATTTGTTATCTGGGTCAGTCTTTTAGCCAACTGTCATACCTGAAAATAAGGTGGTAGGGATAGTAATACTTGTAATATTTAAACCACACAAGTGTTGTGAGAATTAGATGGACTCAAAATCACATAATTTAAGTTGAAAGTACAAACTTGGTCCGAAAGATAATCCATGACCTTCAAAGAGGGGACTCCTGGGGTAGTCTATATCATTTTGAGATAGCTCTCATATGCTCACATGAAGCATAAATATGTCTCTTTCCAACTCAAATTCACTGATTCTAGTTTTGCCCTTTGAGGATAAACAGAACAAAACTAATCCTACTTCCAAGAGACTAGCCTTCAGATACTTGGATAAACTGTCATGCCCCTCACTTGATATTAATTATTAGAAGGAAGCACATTGAGGACTCACAGTAGGTCCTGGTCTGCCCTGTCTCTCAGCAGAATCCACTCACATCATTAGTAGAAATAGCACACACAACATCACCATTAGTTATACACACTAATATATGAATTTAATTTTCTCTCATACCTTTGTATAGTCACCAGAAATGAATGCTTGCTCAAATCCACCATACATTGTCAGAGGAATGAGGAGACATTGCCGTTTATCTCTAAGATGTTGAAAAGTTGCCAGGAAATGGGTCCAAATAGGAGCATTCTTTTCTTTTTCAGTTTCTTCTGAATCATTTGGAAGTTGATCAAGAAATACAGCTATCAACAATACTGCCAAAACACCACTTCCTTTGGAGAAAAAAGGAACCCGATATGACAAGTGTGAATCAAAATGTGGCTTTTTTGTTAAACTTTCTGGCTATCACAGAATATGGGACCCATGATTTTGGAACAAGTGGACTCTTTCTAGAGTCCAATAGCCAACTCTGTGTGTGTTTGTATAATATGTGTATATATACACACAGAGAGAATATATACATACATACATATATGTATATATGACATACACATGTATTATACAAATATACTATATATATATATATATATATATATATATATATACATTATGTCATATAAACATACATATCTTTAATTATACATCTTTCTTCCAATTTGTCCCAATAGGTTTTACATTTCAATACTTGGAAAAGCCAGGGTATAAAAGTTTTCAGATAACTGAAAACTACATTTTACTGATTATGGCCTCTTTGAGAACATTCACAAAGTTCAATATGATCAGTTTCAGCAATGATCTCTGAGGATCCTCATTTTTAAGCATTGCTTCATTTAGAGCAGTTCTCATTCATTCCTGCTCTTTGTTTGTTGTAGCTGAGCCAGTCATGAGTTTTCCATGAGCAAAAATATCTTTACCACCTGACCTTAATTTCATGTCCTTCACAAATCGTGTTAATTTGATGCTGCTTATGAATTAGGATGGACTCTCACTGAGGACTATTTGGAAGTCTCAGGAGATTATGCTCACTCTCATTTCATTGATCTCTTCTCTTTATAATGTAAAGGTATAATGCCTTCTGTGAGCAAGAGTTGAAGATGCTGGAAGAAAGGAAAACTGCCAATGGACACAGTCACCACATGCTACTGGCCTGAAATTCCATGAACGATTGGCTTTATATATGAGCTTCTTCTTGGGCTTCAGGAAGACCACCACCGACTGTGACCGCTTCAGTTCACTGAACCTCTCACACCTGTTAGCCTATAAATCTTATTGGTTTACCTTTGCCAATACACTGGGATAGGAGTAACTCTGGTAACTCTAACTTCACTTCAAAAAGACCTACCAACACAAACTAGCCCCTCACAGCATATCAAACCTCTTCTAGGAGAGAAATTGTATAAAGTTGAGGGGAGGGGTGACCTTCTCTGAGTAAATACAAGAAAGAGGAAGAGAATTTCAGTTGCCCACATTTCCTTACTATTGACTGCTAAATGGTATTTACTATAGACACATACCGGTATAGATACCCAGCAAGGTATAGACTAATTCATTTGCTGGGCGCTTAGTACTGTTTGTAGCTGTGCTGGTTGTCATACAATCATTTGCTCCACAAAGACGCAGTTGCTCTTCTGTGATTCCTTCTGTAAAATAAGAATATAAACACATTAGCATACTCATTACTGTCCCACTGGTCTCAAATATTAAGCAGAGGAGTAAATCTCTAGAATCCAGCAATGATAGATTATGACCCTGTGTGGCCATTGACACCAAGATTTTCAAAATCTTCTCACATAGTTTGTACTTAAAAATGATCATTAGGTTGTCACTGGAGTTCTCCTATGATGCTTCCTCATGGTTTGAAGATGACCCTCAAAGGCTATGCCAACCAACTGGAAACTCTGGCACCACCTCCCAAGTACTGCCCAGAAGTCATCTCTTATCAGCAATTCCCTCATCATCTGAGATGGTTCATCTCCAAATATGGGGACAAGTGATAGACTGTTTATTATCTGAGGACCATCCTAGCTATATCTGGGTAGCTTTATCCCCATACAACTCTCTGGAGTTTATCCTGCATGCACAGTCTCTCCTCTGGTTCAAGACTTAGAAGACAGGGATCCAAGGTTTTAGTTGAAGAATAGTTTGTAGAGATGGATAACAACATGACCATCATGTAAACAAATGTTTTGAAAATGGTACCATGTAGCAGGACATCTCTGAGTAAAGGCCAATATGATTTCTGCTTTCTTTTTCACTTGGAGGTTTCTAGACACATATGTAGTGTGTCTATTGGGTCCTCAAGCATTGGAAATAGAACACAGTAAAAAACAACTGGATTTGGAGTCAGAGGACCTGGATTGAATCCTGGTTGTAGCATTTCCTACCTGCGTAACCTCAAGAAAATTATTTCACCTCTCCAGGGCCCAGTTGGTTCATCTATTTTTTAAGGGGGAGAGGGAGCTTGGATGGTCTTTTCTGGTTCTAAATCTATGACCACCTTCAAAAGGTTCAGAAATGTATTTTGCTAAGTGATTCAAACTATAATTTTCTCTATAAGATTTTAAGACCCAGAATTTAAAATAAATTTTGGAATTATTTCCGGATAGTCAGGTATTGCAACAGAAAAAGTGCTGAATTTGGAGTTGGGTTCACTTCTGTTCTCAGATGCTTACTAACTGCATCACCTTGAGCAAGTCATTTAGGCTCTGTCTGCCTCAGTTTCCTCATCTGTAAAAATAGGGATAAAATTAGCACCTATCTCCCAGGGTAGTTGTGATAATAAAATGAGATATTTGCAAAGAACTTTGCAAACCTTAAGTACTATGTATGTTTGTGTGTGTGTTTGTGTATGTATGTGTATGTGAGTGTATTTAGGTGGGAAAATGTTATAGCAGAGATACTGATGGAAGTGGGTTCTCTCTTCCTACTCAGATTTCCCCCTATCTACTGTAGTGAACTCTCACTCCTTCTAATTCTTTTTAACTCATAAATGCAATGGCCTTTTCTCAATCCACTAATTCCTAGGCAGTCAATTAACCTTTTGAATACCTCTAATTGTCTGTCATTTGACAACTTCTATCCATTCCTCCCAGTTCTTCTCTCTGTTTCTAATCAGAATAAACCTAATCCTTCTTCTGTGTGCCAACTGCTCAAAAACTTGAAGACAGTTCATGCTTCTCTTCCCGTTCTCAATTCTCCTTGCTCTCTTCTGGACACATTCTCCAGCTGATTAACATCCTTCTTAAAATGTGGCACCCCAAACTGAACTCAGTGGCCCAGATGTAGTCTGATCTATCATAGTATTATTACTGAATACTATGTTTTTCTCAAACAACCAATTAAGCCTTTACCAGTCATTGTGCTTGTTCCTGGGTATACAAGAACAAAGAATGAAATGATCTCAAAACTCAAGGAGTTTGCACCGTAACGGGGGAGAAAAGTACATCTATAATTATACATAAAAAGTACAAATGAAAACAAATTGACATAACACATGGTAGTGTGGGAAAGAGGGCCCTAGCAGTTGGGGCAGTATAGGAAAGATTTCATGAAGAAAGTTGTTCTTTGTTTCTTGAAAGAAGAAGGTGCTTCTATGAAGCAGGGTTGAGGAAGGAGGAGTGTACCCATTGAAAAGGTATGGAGACAGGAGTTGTAGGGCTGTGTATGAGGAAAAGGGAGAAAGGCAGTTAGGCTGGAATGTAAAATGTAGAAAGGGTAAGAAAATGGACAGTGAGATTGGAAGGTTGGAGCCAAGTTTTAAATGACTCTTTAAAAGCTGAACAAAGAAGTTTATATTTTGTCCTCAAGGCAATAAGGACCCACTGGAATTTATTGAGGAGGTGAATGATATCACCAGATCTAGCTTATGGAAAATAACTTAGACCACAGTGTGGAGGATGGACTGGAATCCATCTCCAAGATCATGTTAGTTTTCTTGACCACACCACTGATTCATTATTAACTTTGAAGTTCACTAAAATTTATTCATCTTTTCTAACAAATTGATGCCCAGCCATGCCTTTCCTGTCTTATACTTGTTAAATTGATTTTTTTTTAGCCTAAACGTGAAGCTTCACATCTACTGTCTATTTGATTTCATTCCTTTTTTTTTGCCCAATTTCCTTTCAGTCCAAATTTTTCTGAATCCTGACTATCCAGTTAGTTACCCATCACAAATTAGTGTCATCTGCCCAAATGTAATGGCACTATTTAACCCTTTTTCCAAACCATGGATAAAAATGTTAAATGTCACAATACCAAGTCCAGATCTTTGCAGTGACCCATTAATGATGATTCTCTGGTTCTGGCCATTTAGCCACTTAAAATATCCATATATTTGTACTATTATCTATCTCATATCTATTTACTTTTCCCACAGACCTTATCAAATTCTGGCTGAAATTTAAGCAAACATTATCTACAGCAGAGGTGTCAAACATATAGCCTATAGATCATAATGCCACACTCCCAAATGCACCCAAATCAGTTTAAGATGTATTTGGGAAATATATAACAAAATAAATAAAAATAAAATAGGACATTTGTTCAACCATTTCAGACCCTTTGTGACCTCATTTTGGGTTTTCTTGGCAAAGATAATAAAGAGGTTAGCCATTTCATTCTCTAGTGGATCCATTTTGTCAGGCAATCAGGTTAAGTGACTTGTCCAGCTAGGAAGTTTCTGAGGCTGGATTTGAACTTAGATTTTCCTAACTCTAGGCCTAGTATTCTATTCACTGAACTTAGCAGCTACCTCACAAGAGAACATAGATACTGTTAGTATGTGGTTTTCTAAGTCAATACACAGCCTATGGAAATCTTTCTATATGGTTTAGTGGCCCTGTTTTTATTTGAGTTTGACACTACTGGTCTATGGTATTTTCCTGATCATCCTGATTAGTAACCACATAGGAAAAGAAAATAAGCAGATTGAGGCATAACCATGTTTTGATGAAGCTATTATGGATCATTTTTAATGTCTTTTCTACATGTATGTATCATGTCTTTAATAATACATTATAGAATTTTACCAAGAATAAAATTAAGTTCACTAGTCTATTAGCATATATTCTCTTACCTTTGGTAAAAATAGAGCCAAAATCTTTTTCTAATCCCAAAGGTACCTCTCCTATCCTTTATGATATTTCAAAGATAACAGTAATTGGTAAGCTGTAATCAATTTTATCAGCCCTTTTGGTACCCCAAGATATAGTTCAGTTGGTCCTGGTAACTTGAAGTCCTCAAAGGAAACTTACTGTCTTACTCTCACCTTCCCAACAAAGCCAACCAAGAAGGATTGGTTAGGAATCTGGAAGATAATGAGGAGAGTATGGTATGGCAGAAGTCATAAGAAGAGAGAGGATTGAGAATTGAGGGATGCTAAATGCTATAGAATAAGGTCAATGAGGATGAGGCCATCAAAAAAGAAGCAACTGGATTGTGCAACTTGGAGGTCATTAGAAAGCTTGGAGAGATTTTCAGTAGAGCATAGGTCTAGTAGCCAGCCTGAAGAGTGTTGAGGAATGAGTACAGCCAGGTGCAGTGGAAAGAGGAATGTTGATCAGAAATGAAAATTTTTTTCTGCTATTAAGAAGTGTAAATACAACAATGATGTTGTCCAAGACTATGAACTTTAATCTTAATTTGGGTTTTGGTATTGCGATAGTTAGAGACAAAATGACATAAAGTAGATTTTTTTATTACCTACATAAAAATGCTAAAGCATGTATCACCATAATGTGAAGCAGTCTTCTGCCTGATTAATTAAGAAAGAAAAGAAAATAGTTTCTGGATAGTCTCCCTTTTAATGATTACCTCAAAGTGTCACCATCATGGATGGTCCAAGATTATGAAGGAATGTGCTTGAAAACTTCAGGCTGACTTCTACACCACGATTCTATGGAAATGTGTAATTGATGAGAGGAGGAAAGGCAGTGGTGAGGGAATATATTTTGATCACATTTTCAAGTGTTTAAGACAAACTTATACTTCCTGTTTTCCAATTCTCCTTGGCAGATGACCAAGCACCCTCATTAAAGTAGAAAGGGAAAAGGCAAAAGAGAGATATTATCCTAAAGCAGTTCTGACTTGGCAACATTATATGTGGTCATAGCAGTGTGAAGTGACAAATGTGTCACTGTTTCTTAGAACCCAGAAATTTTTAAATTCTTCCAGACCTTTCTAACAGCAGGCATTCTGGTATACTGGAAAAGAGCCCGAGGCTCATAGTCAGAAGGCTTGGCTCTTTCACTTGCTAATTGAGAGGCTATCAGAAAGTCACTTAAACTCTCTGAGCCTCAGTCTCCTTATTCATTAGGTGGGAAAAGTAATATTTGCTGAGCTTTCTAGTCTTCTTATATGTTACTCCTCTTCATGCACTCTATAATTCGGCTACACAGGTCCACCTGTTCTTCAAATATGACACTCCATCTCCCAACTGTATATTTGCTGCAAAAATTTCCCCATCCTACCACAGAACACTCCCCTTCCATGTCTTCCTTTTAATTTCCCTGGCTTCCTTCAAAACTCAGCTTAAGTCACATCTTCTACAGGAGGGTTTTACCATTCCTCCCTTCTCCCCAGTGCCTTCTCATTGGAGATTCCCTTCCATTTATACTCTTTTACATGTATGGTTATTTGTATGTTGTTTCTTCCATTAGAAGATGAGCTTCTTTGAAAGAGGTACTGTGTTTTTACCCTTCTTGTTATTCACAGTGCCTAGCACAGTGTCTGACACATAGTAAGCACTTCTTCATACCTGTTGACTTACTGACTGACAAGATTTTGATATTGGGATGAATGAGAGTGAGGGATCAAGGACAACACTGAAGTTAGGAACCTGGCTGAGGGTAATAATGTTATTGACAATCATAGGGAATAGCTACTGGAGCTGTTGGATGTAAGGAGTTTGCCAGTAGACTATGAGGAAACATTTCCATTAGATACTTTTTCCTTTGGTAAGGGCAGGGTGGTGATGGAGATGGGGAACAGACCAAGGTGCCCTCCTGTCTCTCTTTTGGGAATTGTTATTTGAAAAGTGTTTTTAAGTGGTAAGTCATTATATAAGTGAGGTATTATTAAAAAAAATAATTTCTTTCCTTTTTGAATTTTTAACACAGAAGATAAATGGGTATAAAAACCATAATACAACATGAGTTTATATCTAGGTGTGCCCAAAGGCAGTTACAGATGGGTATATTAATGGAATGAATGCAAGGAGAAACTTTGATACTGAATGACTCCGCTTTACTAATCTTCAAAGTAATGGTCAGTCCCTCGTCATTGGTACATCCAATAAAATACACAGCTGACTTGAAGATAATGACTATGCTTCCCTTAAGCCTAGTAAAGAACTAGGGTGATTCTGTTCATGTATGGAGGTGGGGAAAGAAAGTCAAGCTAATTTTGTATTGTGTAGAAAGTCTGAAAAGGCAAAGAATGACTAAATAATCCTTCAAAGTTCATTATGTCTTACTGTGCTCCCTCAACATAAATGGAAATGGGAATAATGAAATATCCTCAGACTGAATCAACAATTCTGTAATAGACAAATGGTCAAAGGCTATGAGCAACTACTTCTCAAAGGAAGAAATCCAAACTATCAATAACCATAATTAAAAAGTACTCCTAAATCACTAGTAATCAGACAAATGAGAAGAAAAGAACCTCTGAGGTTCTACCTTACAACCACCAGATTGGCAAAGATTATACAAATGACAAATTGTGGAAGGACTGAAGGAAAACAGACATACCAAGGCATGGTTGGTGGTGCTTTGAATTGGTTCAGGCATTCTGAAAAGCCGTTGGAACCATGCCCCTAAAGTCTATAAACCATGCATACTCTTTGATCCAGCAAGGCCACTGTTAGGCCTACATAAATACTAAAGATGAAGCATATTACACATCTCCTGATAGAGAGGGGATAGATTCAAAATTGAGATTGAGCCATACATTTTTAGACATGGCCAGTGAGGGAATATGCTTTGCTTAACTATGTAAATTTGTCACAAAGGTTTTAATTTTCTTTCTTTCTTTCTTTCTTTCTTTCTTTCTTTCTTTCTTTCTTTCTTTCTTTCTTTCTTTCTTTCTTTCTTTCTTTCTTTCTTTCTTCCTTCCTTTCTTTCTTTCTTTCTTTCTCTTCTTTCTTTTTCTTTTCTTTCTTTCTTTCTTTCTTTCTTTCTCTATTCTAGGCAATTGGGGTTAAGTGACTTGCCCAGGGTCACACAGCTAGTAAGTGTCAAGTGTTTGGTCTGAGGCCAGATTTGAACTCAGGTCCTCCTGACTTCATGACCAGTGCTCTATCCACTGCACCACCTACCTGCTCCTTAATTTTCTTCTTCTTGTTGTTTTTCATTTGGAATGGTAAAATGGGAAAGAGAGAAAAATAGACATTTGCTAATTTAAAATTAGAAAATTATTTTTTAAAGACTGAACATGTTTCTCTTGTTCATCTCTACAGAAGTTGCAGCCACTCTTGGAGCAGTATTTCAGCCAGCTCTATTTACCTTTGGGAGGGTCCTGCTGAAACACCAGAGATGAAATCAAATTCCCCCAGACACCAGAGGTCTGAAATATGAGAAAGAAGATGCCAAAATACTGGTTGATGACATCTTTCCCAAGTTTTCCTGTCTTCTTTGCATAAATATTTCCAGTCATTGTAAGGTAAGTAGCCTCCGCAGACCACAGTGGGGCTGCTCCTAGACCTAGGATTATGGCAGCGGGGATCAAGGTGAACCTACAAAAAGATAATCTGTTAGCATAAGTGTTTACTGTTGAGAGAAAAGAAGTAGCTCAGCTCTGCCTTGTTTGAACTCCCAAGATGCACCCCACCTCCAGGATAAGCTGATTATTTGAAATATCACCATACTAACTCAGCCTTGAATACTCAACTCCTTTCCAATTTCCTCAGCCTCCTCTCTCCTCTGATTGGAGGGCTGGAGAGTGGAAGAAGCACTAAACTTCTCCCTAATCCTCTCTTTATACTACAGTGGGTGCAGTATGGACTTTCTGGCTCACCTTGCACTTCTGACCTGCAGCTCATCTTGGTTTGACCTCCATTCAACAAGATGCCCCTGTGCCAGGTACACACACCCTTGTATTTCTGTCCTCCCCCTTTTCAGCTACCTTTTCTGTGTTGTCTTCCACCATTAAATTATAAGCTCCTCAAGGGCAATGAATGTCTTTCATTTTCTTATTTGTATTCCCAGAGCTTAGCACAGTACCTGGCACATAGTAGGTGCTTTTAAATATATATATATATATATGTATATATATATACATATATATATATACATATATATATGTATATATATATACATATATATATGTATATATATATGTATATATATATACATATATATATGTAATATATATATATATACATATATATACACACACACACATATACACACACATACATATACACACACACATTGTATATATATATAACATATATACATATATACACATTGTATATATATAACATATATACACATATACACATTGTATATATGTATATATAATATATATACATATGTAGATATATAACTATATATATGTATATATATGTGTGTGTGTATATATATATATATATATATATATATATAAATTCAATTGAATAGAAAGACAAAACATTCGCCATTGTGCTTAAAGAAATGAGTAAGCAACATACTTTTTAGCTGAGGTACATGTGGAGAGAAGGCACTGAGTGCCAATGAACTCTGGCACCGAAAAGTTCAGTAGATGTTTGCTAATTTTTTCAAACAAATTGAAGCTGATGAAATAATATGAAAGCCTGGGCCTCCTCAGCTGGAATACTGTGTGATGTTGTTAAGATTACAAGGAGCAAGAATATTATTAGACAACTAATCTTTTCTGGCATCCTCCGTTGCTGAGATCTCTATATACCTGATCTATACTCAGTGAGCAGTAGAATGCAATTGGCTGAAAGTCAAGGCTTTTGATAGGAGACAGAAGAAGAGATGTACCAGCTGGCATAGAAGTTTCCCAAAGAGAAAGTGATATAGCAGCACATGGAGAATGTAATGGTCCACTTGCAGCCAAATTTCTTAATAAGAACTGGAGGAAGGAACATGGAAGACAAAATCACGGATGCATAGATAACACTAAGTGTAGCCACTCCTAGTCCTTCTGCCTTATTAAGGCTGCTCTGTAAGAACAAAACAAACAAACAAAAATAGTTAGTTACACAGATTCAAGAGTGAGGCAAAAGAATAGAGGGTTCTGTTATTTGGGGTTTTTCCTGAAAATTTTTGAAAAATTGAATAAAATCTTTTTTTCCTTTTTTTTAAATAAATGAATGCATATTCACTTTATATGCATTTAGAATCTACCCCTCTCGTTGTCTCCTCCACCCCTAACTGAGCAAAGAAAAACCTGATAATAAACATAGTTTCAACAAAACAAATTCCCATATTGGCCATCACCAAAAATTAATGTGTCTCTTTCTGCATTTTAAATTCCTCAGGTCTCTGGCAAGAGGTAAGTGGTGTGACAAATGCCATCTCTCAAGTTCCATGTAGTTGTCCAAAAAAAAAATTACCCACCAGAATTTTACATCATCACTTTTTGTAGTAGCAAAGAATTTAAAACAAAGTATATGCTGATCTATATGATTATATTAATTGTGGTACATAAATGAAATGGAATGTTACTCCTCTGTAAAAATAAAATAGAATAAAAAATGAATAAGAAAACAAAGAACCATGAGAAGACATATGACCTGATGCAAAGTAAATTGAGCAGAACAAAGAAAACATACGCAAAATGTCTACAAAAATATAAATGTAAAGAATAACAAAAATAAAAGCTTAGTGCTATAAAATTATCATCATTAGGCTTAGCTTAGAAAAAGAAGAGGTACAAGAATGCACCTCTTTCTCTTCCCTGTGGAGGTGGAAGACCATATATGGTGTCTCACTTGGTTGACAGAAGAGAGGGATGTATCTGGAAATTAAGGTCATGTGGAAGGAAATACAATATTTTTAAAAATCTGTTTGGGGAAGGGAGCAGACAAAGCCTGTGGAAGCTATAGAGGCAACGTGAAGCACTGTTCCTTCATAAAAGTAGTAGATGTTCTGGTCGCGTACCGACGTAACCATAACTTGATGATAGGATATAGTTGTTTGGCTACGGACAAGTTTATATGCATGAGAAAAATGAAATCCAATATGGTTTTTTCCTCCTTTTTTTGGTGCAAATCTCAAGAATAAAAATTGTGCCTGATGAGATACCCAGAGAACAGATAGTCACATCAGAGTTTTCTCTATTCTAAATGAGAAAATAGACCTGGCAAGAGGCAAATAACACTTTTCTCTTGAACTCAAAGCAGAGAGGAGCTCTCGTGCCTCTGAAGTGAAGCAAGAATATCCAGGTCCAGGTTTTAGTTTCCAAAGCAAAACTATCAGCAATAATCAGGGGCAAACAGAGAAAACAGCAAATAAATCTAAAGTAACAATCAATGATTTATTGAACATAGATAAAAGATCACATTGTACTTCTAAATCTTGTCCCTTGTAGTATATTTCTACACTAATCTTCCCTTAGCTTAAAACTCAGGCCTTCGTATCTTGCCTTAACTTCCTTTCCTCTCACTGTCTTCTAAACTTGCTGAATAGCCAGGCTGCTGAGCTCATTCCTCAAGTGAAACTGCTCTCTCCAGAAATAGGAGTGATCTCTTAATGACCAGACCTACTGGTCTTTTCCCAGTCCTCATCCTTCTTGACTTCTCTGAAGCATTTGAAACTGTTGATTGCTCTCTCTTCTTGTATGCTCCCCTGAGTTGTTGTGACGATGCTCTTTCTTGGTTTCTTTATCTTACCTATTAGACTGCTCTTCCTCAGTGTTCTCTGCTGTATCATCATCCATGTCCTGCCCACTCACTGTAGGTATACACCTAGGCTCTGTTCTTGGCCCTTTCCTCTTTTCTTTCTTTATTGTCTCATTTAAGACCTTATCAACTCCCATGGGTTCAATTATGGTCTCTAAGCATTACTCCAATATTTAAATATCTTTATTTCCTGAGCTCCAGTCACAGCTCTCCAAATGCCAATTGGACATGTCAAAATGATTGTCCTGTAGGCATCTCAAACTCATATACAAATCAGAAATCTTTTCCCAAAAATCCATCCTAAATTTCCCTATTTTGTCAATGACTCTACTATCTTTCCAGTTATCCAGTATCATGACCTCAGTACCATCTTTGACTCCTCACTTGCATTCATCTCACATATATATCCAATCAGTTGCCAAATTATTTTGTTTCTACCTCCAAAATATCTCTCACTCACATCTATCCTCTTCTTTCTACTCACACAATGACCACCCTAGGTCAGGTCCTTTTCACCAATTGATCAGACCATTGCAATACCCTCCTGTTTATTTTCCTTGCCTCAACTCTCTCCCAACTCCAATCCATCCTCCATTCAGATACCAAAGTGATTTTCTAAACTTTAGGTCTGACCATTACACACACACACACACACACACACACACACACACACACACTCCCCTCATCAATCTCTAGAATGAAGTATGAACTCCTGTTTGGCATTTAATGCTTTTCCCAGTCTGATTCCATCTGACCACTCCAGTCTTAATACATATTTCTCCCCTCCACATACTCTATAGACACTTCAGTCATACTGGCCTTATTACTTATATGACACCCTATCTCTGTGACATTTGCAATGACTTTCCTCCATCCCAGAATGATCTCCTCCCTCATCTCTAGCTCTTGAAATCCCAGTCTTCCTTCAAGATAGATCAAGTATGTCTATCTGTATGAGTTGATTCCCAGTCCACATCCCCCAGTTTGCTAGTGCCTCCCCTTCTAAGGTTACCTTGTATCTGCTTTCTGTATGTTGTGTATGTACCTACATATGTGTATGTTGTTCTCACTATTAGAATGTAAGATCCTTGAAGGCAGAATTACTTTATTTTTGTCTTTATGTCTTAGGTGCCTAACCCAGTGCCTGACACATAATTGATACAAAATACCTATTGACTGATTTATTAAGTAAAGTGATTAGCTATTTCATACTGTTATTTAATAAAGTATTATATTTTTATAGAAAAGAATCAATATTCACTGACTTATGTACTAAATACTCTGGTATTTCAGCTAGCCTTGCTTGAACTAAAGCTCACCTATAAGGTTCATGCTACCCTAACAAGCACCATCATCTTCATCCAATTTTAAACCAATCAAAATGTGAAGGCCTTCTAAATGTAGGACATTAAGGATAGAAAAGGAATTAAGACCTGGCCTCAAACCTTGATAACCAGGCTTAGTGCCTTACATAAACTAACTCATCCCTAAAGGGTGTATTCTAAACCTTTCACCCTATTAAGTTCAGACAAACATCACATCTAGCCATGCACTGGCTTTGTGATGGATGGGAAAGCAATATAAGCAATAAATTTGTAAAAACAGTGATAGGATTGTTAGACAATACCTCATCAGATCTGTCTCACTCTTCATAATGAAGATGATGATAAGGTTCAGGAGTTGGGTTGTCCAGAAAGAATTTAAGGGGCAGATATTCTAGTGAAGAGAGCTTTATTGATGCAAAAGCAGAGGGCTAGGGTTGGGGTATTCCTAGCAGTTTGCCAGAAGATAGGGGTTTGTTTTTGTACACAATTTTTGGGCATTCAAGCAAGAGAGGAGTATGCTCCTATGTGAGTAAGGAAAGGAGGAAGCAGGGAAGGGAAGCAGGTGTGCTGAAAAACAGTTCAAGAATGTGATCACAGAACAAGAAACTTAGCTTGCTCCAGTATGGGAGGCTAATCATGTACACAGAGTATGGGCTTAGAAACCAAGGTTTTTGTTGTCTGACAGAGCTTCCTATTACTGGGCAGATTTAGATGAAGCCCTCATAGTTGCTGGGCAAAAGTCAGCCTCATCAATATCCTCCCATTCATGCTTCTTTGAGGGGGCTGTAATATCACAGTAACACACCAGAATTTCAGGGCTCATGTTTAATTTGTTTTTTGTTGTTGTTGTTGTTTCATTCGGTCCTGTCCTACTCTTCATGACCCCATGGACCACAGCATGCCGCTACTCTCCATAGGGGTTTTCTTGGCAAAGATACTGGAGGGATTTGCCATTTTCTTCTTCAGTGGATTAAGGAAAACAGAAGTTAAGTGACTTGCCCAGGGTCACACAGCTAGTAAATATCTGAGGCCAGATTTGAACTCAGATCTTCCTAACTCCAAGCCCAGCACTCTATCCACTGAGCCACCTCACTGCCTCCATAAATTAATTTGCCAACGGCAAAGGGAGAATTGTTCACTATGCCCTGACCACAATGAAGGTGATAAATGCAATCAGATAATTATAAGAGGCATCCTTTTCCCCCAATCCAAATACCACAGTTAAATCCTGTACATTAAAAGAGCTTCCAAGTGCTGAAAAAAAAACCAATCATACTGGGAACCCATAGCTTGTACTTAATTTGTATAGCTGCTCACTTTGTTATCTATTTCATACTTCTTAAAACTGTCTTCTGGTTTAGTTTTTGAAATACCACAATATTTAGGTTTTCCTTTCACCTTTCCAACCTTTCCTTCTAAGTTTTCTTTATTTAGTCTAATAACTCAGTAAGCCCACTTTACTACAGAACTTTTCAATGATGCTGTCCTTGACTTTTGGGTCTTCACTCTTTGTACACAATTCCTCTGAGAGTTCAAGTACTCTTGTGACTTTATTGCTACTCCGTGACTCCATGGACAGTTCCATATTTCCTCCTAGCTATAACACTTTGATAACATACCCTTACCTTAAATTAAATGTCCAAGATTGATTTTATCATTTTCTCCAAAACTGACTTCACTTCTCTATCATTATCCCAGGCAATCAGTCTGCAGTGTCTCCTTCCTTTTGCTCCCCTTCCATGTTCAGTTAGTCACTAAGTCCTGTCAATTTTTCCTCCATATTATCTTTCTAATCTCTCTTTTCCCTTTCAACACCATTGCCACCATTCTGGCTAAGGACTTTACCATCTTACCCCAAAGCTACTGTAATAAGCTTCTATTATTCTTGCCACTAACCTCTTCCAACTCCAATTTGTTTGGCACAGTTGTTGTATTAATCACCCTAAAAGATGGAGAAGCAGCTTTTGGGAGAGTAGAAAGTGTGTGGGACTTGAA